TGGAAAAATCCTTAGTTCACAGAACATTAGATAGAGGACTCAGAGTCTTGCCTCAGCTGTGAACAGTCCAAAACTGAGCAGTGCTCCAGATCCACATAACACAGCTTTAAAGCAAGACCTCAAGGAACTAGGGATATAGCTCAGTGGCAGAACCCTTGACTAACACATGTGAAGCCTTGGGTTCAATCCCTAGAACTGCATGTATGTGTGTGTGTGCACGTGTGTGCATGTGTGGGCACATGCATGTTTGTGTGTGTATATATAAGACCTCAAGAAGATGAAACTTTTCCAAGTAATTTAAACCTTAGAACAAAATATTTTGAGGAGTACAAAAATACTGGCAGCTATGAAAGTAAAACTCCCAATGTCTGGCATCCAATCAAAGATCACCAGACACACAAAGAGGCAAGACAACATGAGACAAATAATCAAGTGAAGCCAACCTAGAGTTAGCACAGATGTTAGACGGCAGACAACAAGACAGGCATTATAAATGTGCTCCATGTGTTCAGAAAGTAGAGAAATAGAAGATATAAAGAAATGAAATTATACTTCAAGATAAGAAATTATAATGTATAAGATTAAATGTATAAAATGATATTAATGATAGATTAGACACTGCAAAAGAAAAGATTAAGAAACCCAAAAGCATATCAGTATATAGAACCTAGACAAAATGAAACACACAGAAAAATAAAAGTTCAAAATACTAAACAGTACAGTGAGCTGTGGGATCAACTTCAAGCTACTACATGGAAAACTGGAGTCTCTAAAATTGGGTTGGGAAGGCAACTCAGCAAGTACTTGTCTCAAAATAAGATTAAATTTCAAAAGGGCTGAGGATGTCATTCAGTGCTAGAGTGCTTGCCTATCATGTTATGACCCTGAATTCAATTCTTCCAGTACCAGAAGGAAAAAGAAAAAGCAAACACCTTACAAGAAAACAGTATTCCTTAAGACCAAATATGCAAAACTCCTAGAAAAATTTTAGCAACCCCCCCACAAAACCCTCAATACAGTAAAAAGACAATATAACAAATAAGAAATGCAAAGTTGGTAATTTCATATCAATCTTTTAAAAACTCAATAAACAGAAAAAACAGATGATAAATTCAACATTCATTTGCGAGTTTAAAAAAACTCTCATCAAACAAGATATCAAAAAGAACTTCCTCAAAGAGAAAGGATAACTATAAAAAACTACAGCTGGGCTGGGGATTTAGCTCAGTGGCGCCGTGTCTGCCTTGCAAGTGCAAGGTCCTGAGTTCGGTCCCCAGTAGCAAAAACAACAACAACAACAAAAACTATAGCTAACATCATACTTAATGGTAAAAGAATGAATGCTTTTCTCTAGGATTCTAAATAAGACAGGAATGTTAACTCTTACTACCTCTATTCAACATTGCACTGGAGGACTTGGGGAGTGCAATCAGTCATGAAAAATAATAGGTATCCAGACTGGAAAAGATGAAGTAAAACTCTTTATTTGCAGATACAATCAGCTGTGGAGAAAAGTCAATGGAATCTAGAGACTATCAGAACTAATGAGTTAGTTTGGCAAGATTAGCAAATACAACATTAACATAAGAAAATCAATTTATTTCTATATTCCAGTAATGAACTATGAGTAATTGAAATTTTTTAAAATATCATTTAGAACAGTATCACAAATATGAAATACTTAAAGACACAAATCTGACAACAAATATATATTTTATACTGAAAAGAAGACCAAACACTGGTAAGATGTCAGTTCTTCCCCAATTAATCTATAGACTCAATACAATCTCAATTAATATCTATGAAGGATTTGCTGCACAAATTGATGACTTTAAAATTCATAATAAAATATGAAAACATAATAAACAACTCTGAAAAAGGACAAAGTTGAAGGACTAACACTGTCTTATTTTAAAGCTACACTAGTCAGGTCAATGTAGTATTGTGCTCAAGACACACAAATAGCTTATTGGAACAACAGAATAACAGACATCAGAAATAAACCCACATATGTACAACTGTAAAGACATCACAGTGGGGAAAATATAGCAATTTCAACAAAGCGGGCCCTACAACAACTGGATATTAATATGCATAAAAAAGAATGTGGATCTGTATTTTTATATGTACTATATATAAAATGAACTAAAAATGGATCACAGATGTAAAGAGAAGATCTACAACTCTAATTCTAGAGAGAAACATGGGAGAAAATCTTTGTGACCTTGAGTTACACAAAGACTTCTTTTTTTTTTTTGGTACCGGGAATCAAACTCGGGACCTTGCGCTTGCAAGGCAGGCGCTGGAACCACTGAGCTGAATCCACGGGCCCCCAAAGACTTCTTAAATACAATACCAAAATCATGATTTATAGAAGAACTGATAAACTGGACTTAACCAATTTAAAACTTTTCTTCAAAAGACATTGGTAAGAGAATGACAAAGCAAGCCACAGATTAGGAGGGAATCTTTGCAAACATACACTGTACTTCCAGAGGACTTGTATCCAGATTACATAAAGAAATCTCAAATTTCAAAAATAAAGCAAATAACTCAACATAAACATGGGCAAAAGTTTTGAAGAGACACTTCACCAAAGATGATATATGGATGGCAAATAAGCACATGAAAAGAATTCAACATCTTTATTTACATGGGAAATATGAATTCAAAATTACAATGAAACATGACATATCTGTTAGAAAGGCTTAGAAAAATGGACCATATCAATTGTTGATAAAGATATGGAAAAATTGGAACTCTTTTTTCTTTTTTTCTTTTTTTTGTCATGCTTGGTATCAAATCCAGGGTATGGTGAATGCTAGTCAAGTGCTCTACCACTGAGCTACATTCCTTAGCAGAACTGGAACTCTTACACACTGCTGGCATATGAATACAAAATGGTACATATGTATTTTTATTTTGGAAAACAAGCTCACAGTTTCTTAAGTTAAATGTATAACTATCATATGATCCAGAAATCCCATTCCTAGGAATTTACCCGAGAAATGGAACTAGAAGGACTTGCAAAACTTTTACATGAATGTTAAGAGCAACTTTGTAATGATGAATGAGTAAGTCATTATATAGTCATTCAATGGAATATAGTACTACTCAACACTACAAAGAAAGACTTAAGTGATACTCAAAAGTTGGATGAATCTTAAAGGCACTATACCAAATGAAAGAACCACAGTGTCAAAATTACAAACATTGTATGACTGCATTTATATGACATTCTTGGAAAGAGACCCCTACAGTATATAGTCTATACAGTCTACAGTACAAAAACATCAGCTGCTACAAAGGTTCGGAAGTGAACACAAGGTGACTGTATGGGGATAGAAATGGAGTTTTGAGGGGCAATGGAACTGTTCTGTGTACTGACTGGCAGTGGTTACACAAATCCATAATGCATTAAAACTCAGAGAACTACACAGAAAAACAATTTAAAATATTGTTAAACTACCACAGTCCCCCTCTGCCCCGCTGCTTTCATCTGTCAGCATATTTAGGAAATCACTTAACAGCAGATTCTAGAGATCTTCCTCATTCTTTTTTATATGCGCAGAATGACTCATTAATGTGAATATGACAATTTACTCAATTGCATTATGGACATTTAGACAGTTCTGATATTTTTCATTTACAAATAAATCATGTTATGAATAAACTTATGTATGTGCATTTGTATTAGTGTGTCTTCAATTCCTAGAAATGGGATTGCTAAGTTAAAATTTTAAACATGTACACAGTTTTATTAGATACTGTGCTTTTTTTTCCATTAAGGTTGTGCCTGTTTTTTGTGTTCTTACCAGTAAGGTATGAAAACATGTACATTCTCACAGCCTTACTCCAAGAGTTGTCAAACCTTGAAATTTTACCATTCAAGTAAGTGAGAAATGACATTTCATTTGCATTTATTTTTCCTAAGACAAAAAGGATATCAATTAAAAAAAAATTTAATATAGCTTTATAGACATAATTCACATGATACAATTTGCCCATTTAAAGTACATAATGCATAGTTTTTTAGTATATTCACAGAGTTATACAACCATCACCACTACCTAACTCTAGAGCATTCTAATCACCCCCAAAAGAAACTTGGTAACTATTAATTATTCCCCATACCTCTCTTCCACAGGCCTAGGTAATAACTCTATTTTCTGTCTCTATGGACTGGCCTATTTGAACATTTTATATATGTTTCAGATAAAACATTTAGATGTTTTTTTGTGGTCACAGATGGTCTTTTGTGAGTGGATCTGTTCAATTCTCATGTTTTCAAGGTTTACCCATGTTGTATCATGCATCCGTACTTCACTTCTTTTTTATGGATGAACAATATTGTTTGACGTCTCTATTCATTAGTCAATAAGTACTTTAGTTGTTTTCACGTTTTGGCTAGTATAAATAATACTGCTAATGAACATTCCTGTACACATTTTTGCAAGTTTTTCTTTTTCTGCCTATTGGGTACATTCCTAGGAGCAGAATTGCTGGGTTATTTGGTAACTCCATATTTAGCATTTTTAGGAACTACAATACCAGACTGCTTACCAAAGCAGTTCCACCATCTTATGTTCCACAGAGCAACATGTAACACTCCCACATCCCTATATCCTTGTCAATTCTCATTATCTCTTTTATTATGGCCACACTAGCAGGTATGAAGTAGAATCTCATTTTGGTTTTCATTTGTATTTTTCTTGTAGCTAATGACGCTAAACATATTTTCATAGCTTATTGTGTGTATCTTCTTTGGAGAAAGGCCCTTTCGGATTCTTTACCCATTTTAACGGGGCTATCTCTTTATTAAGTTCTTTATATATTCTAGATATATAGCCGTAATCACAAGATTTCCAAAAAATTTCTTCCATTCTGTGAGGTATCTTTTCACTTTCTTTAAAGTGCCCTTTGAAGCACAAAAGTTTTCAATTTTGATGAAGACTAATTTACTTATGTCTTTTGTTATTTGTGCTTTGTTTCATATCTAGAAACTCAATGTCTACAGTAGGGTGAAGAATGACTCCCCAAGATATCCATGTCCTAATCCAGGGAATCCTACCTTTTATGGCAAAAGGGATTCTGTAGATGTGATTAAACCAAGGACTTTGACACAGGGACATTATCATGGATATCAGAACAGCCAAACAAAACCACCCCGAGGAACAGAGAACAATGTGAGAATATAAGAAGCTGGCATGAATCAAGAGGATGGACAGACGAATGTGAGGATGGAAGCCACCAGTCAAAAAATACAGAAAGGCTCTAGAAGACAGAAAATTTAAGGAAATGGTGTCTCCCCTGAAGCCTCTGGAAGCAGCACAGACCCACCAACATCTTGAAGAGAATACATTGTTTTAAGCCATTAAAGTTGTGTTAATTTGCTACAGCTTCAACAGAAAACTAATATAGGATCCCAGGTGTTTAAATTTGGAGCTGGTCACATAGGTACCTTCTTGTTTAGCACCTATCAAAATTCCACACTTCATATGTCTATTACTGAAATTTCTATTCTGTTCCACTAATCTGTCTTTTTACACACCAGTACCTTACCAATTCCAATTATATAACAGCTTAAGAGCGTATTTTAATAACTCCTTGTGCCAGCCACCCTTTGAATCTTCCTTTTTCAGCATTCGTCCAACATTCCTACATGTTTATTTTTCCATATGATCTTTATCATCAACTTCTCTAATTTCATAAAAAATTTTGTTGGTATTTCAAAAAGTACTAAGTTAACTAGGAGAGAACTGTTACCTTTATGATGTTCAGTGTTCCTAGCCAAAGCATCTTTCTACTGTTCAAATCCATTCTCTGTTCATTAAGAATGTTTTAAAGTGTCACTCAAATTCTGCATTTTTCTTGTTAATTTTTAAAACTATGTTTTTATTATTGCTGCTATTAGTATGGATACCTTTCTGCAACATCTGAAATGTGCCACAAACCTTTTTATTTTTTTTTTAAAGTTTTGGTTAAAAAAAGAAAAGCCCACAACATAAAAATACATGCACCAACAAGAGCACACAAATGTGTAGAGAAGTGTGTGAGAGATGTGGCCTGGCAGCTCCAAGTAATCCAGTCCAGTGGCCTCCAGTGATAGCTTTTCAGAGGGAACACAGCCTTGGGTTAATCCACCCGGCCATTCATCTACTCCCATTCCAACTGCCCAAGTCAGTAGCTTAAAGTCAAACACCATAACACAACTTCACTGGATAAAATACACCTCTACCTCTAATAACTCCCAAGACTAAAATTAAAAAACACAAGAACTTTCCTAATTATCATCAAGAACATCTAACTTTAACCAATTATCATGATCATATTTCACAATGAAACATGTAAGATATTTAAACACCAGAAAAACCAGAAAAAAGACAAAGATGCCCTTTTTCTTATCAGTCCTATTTAAAATTGTTGTAAAGCTCTAGCCAACACAAATACTTCCTACTTACAATTTAATCTTGAAATACTAAGTTGTTATTTAATCACTTTGAACCTTCAGAATGTCATTTTTATATGGTTCAATTTAATATATGTATAGGCATGGATGAAAGGAAAATGAAAAACAATATAAAGATGTCAGTAAGATCCAAATTTATCTCACATTTTATCAATATAATTCTAATCAAAAGGCAAATAAGAATGTTAAATTTTTTCACAAAATAACTTCAGGGTCTATATGGAATAAAAAGAAGATAGACAAGAAAACAGTTTTGGAAGAATAATAATTTAAAGGGAGGAAATGACCTGGTAGGCTAGCTAATAAAATATATAAATAAACTGTGTTGCTTAAAATAAACTTAAATAGAAATTGCAAATATACATTTAAGGAGGAAAAATCTCCTTAGGAATCAAGAAAAAGACCCAACTATGTAACAGAATGTAAATAAAAAGGAAACATTGTATAAACCGCAGTAAGTGTTATTAAGGAAATCATATCTGATGCTAATATCCTGGAAAAAATTAGATATTTGGATTTAAAAATAGAAACATGGGGCGGGGGATTTAGCTCAGTGGCACCGCACCTGCCTCGCAAGTGCAAGGTCCTGAGTTTGATCCCTTTACCGCAAAAAAAAGAGAAAAGAAAAATGTAGATAAAGTATTGATATAATGCTTTATGCACAGACCTTTTCAGGTACAAGAAGAGAGGCAGAAACCACAAAAGAAAAGTTACAGATCTAGCTAACAAAATGATAACAGAAAAGCAAAAATACAAAAATTCAAATATAAATACAGACCTGGAAAATTATCAAGCCTTTAATTAAGCATTTTTTTAAGTTAAAAAAAATTCAAACTAACGAAAAAAATGACAAAAACATGATCAAATGACACAATAGAAGCACTGTACAAATGGCCGGTAAACGTATAAAAGTTTTCCATCTAAGCTGAGTGTGGTGGTGCACATCTATAAACTGAAGCAGAGGATTACAAATTTCATCTCAGCCTGTGCAACCTAGTAAGACCCTGCCTCAAAGTACAAAATAAGTGCCACCTGCCTCACAAGCACAAGGACCAGAGTTCCATCACCGGTACCAAAAAAACCCCCACAAAATAAAAAGGGGCCTGGGAGGTAGCTGAGCACAAATGTTCTGTGTTCAATTCCCAGTATAATCCAGAAATCAATCAATCAGGAAGTTAATAACAAAAGTGTTCAGTCTTACTAATAATTGTTTTAAAGTCAAAACTCAGTATAGTGGCGCATGCCTATAATCCCAGCACTCAGGAGGCTGAGGCAGGAGGATCGTTGCGTGTTCCAGGCCAGCCTGAACTACATAGCAAGACCCTGTCTCCAAAAAACCAAACCAAACCAAATAATAATAATAACAAAGATTTAAAAACCTGACAACTTTGTTGGCAGATTTGCAAGAACTTAAAAGAATGGAAACAGCCAATGTAGGGAAATAGGCACTATCATACAGTACTGGTGAATTGATATGGTCTTCCTCAAAGGCAATTTGGCAGCATCTTTTATTTAAATGGAGTATGGAAGGGAGAAGAGAGATGAGAAAGGTCAAAGACCAAAAAATGGATGCCTGAAGCTGACTCTTGATTTGTTACAATTTTTCACCATTTACTAAACTATATTTTATAATTTGTTTTAGTTTTACAGTCAACATATATTTTTGCTTGATTAAAAAATTTCCAAAGTAAAACAAAAGCAAAACAACTAAGTTACCAAAACCAACCTTGAAATTGTAAATACAGTTATTTTATGTTATACTGCCTCACTTTACTGGAGGTTAAAATGGTGATTAAACTTACAAATAAGTACTACCAGCAGTACTGACAGCCACAGGTGAATTATAGCAAAGGACAAACAGATTTGGGGGTTGACAGAGAACTGTTGCCCATGCAGGGTTAACGTGAGGATTAGATAAGCCAGGCAATGTAATCAGCATGCACCTGATACAAAGACAGTGCTTGACAAACATTAGCAATCCTCATTAAGCAGCAGCATCAGGCAATTACAGGCATCACCCATTACAGACAAGCACTGATACACACTTCTGAAATAGTGAAAATCAAATGTGTATGAAAATTATCATTTCCGCAACACTTTTTCATTCTAGTTCTCTCCCTTCAGGTCTCACCACTTCTCCTACAGCCTCAGTCTAGATTTGGAATGTGCTCCACAGGTCCACACATCAAAATCCTGTTCCCAGTATGCTGCTATTGTGCAGTGGTAGAACCTTGTGTCCTCAAAGGGGACTGTGTGAGCTTGGTGCCTTCCTTTCTTTTTCACATCCTGGCCATAGGTGAGTAGCTCTGTTCAATCACTGGCTCCCTGCCATGATGTACTGTTTTGCCACAGGCCCAAAAGCAATGGGGCCAAATGACTATCCCTGGAAACCTCCAAAGCTATGAGCTCAAATAAACCTTTTGTAGGTAGGTGGTGCATACCTGTAATCTAGCCTGGACAACCTAGTGAGACTCTCAGAACCTAAATTATAAATAAAACAAAACAAAAACCCCAAACTTGTTTTAAAAGGGATGAGGATGCAGCTTAGTGGTAGAGCACTTGCCTAGCATGTGTGAGGGTCTTGGTTCCATCCCCAGAACTGAAAATAAAAAAATCTTTTTTCCTTATAAGCTATAAAATGTATCTGTTATTGTAGCAGAGTCTAGCATCACCTATCAATACAGAACTCAGCATCTTGAATCACTTTCTTCTTTTCTTTCTGCGGTACTGTGGATTGAATCTGGGGTCTCCAGCATGTTAGGCAAGTACTCTACCACTGAGTCATATCCCCAGCCATTTTTTTTACTTTTTATGTTGAAACAGGGTCTAAGTTGCCCGGGGTAGCCTCGAAATTCTGATCCTCTTGGGTCAGCCTTCCGAGTAACTAGGATTATAGGTGTGCAGCAGTGCACGTGGCTGGATATAACATTTTAAAGGGGTTCAATAAGCTGAGTGTGGTGGCACACACCTGAAATCCCAGCTACTCAAGTTCAAATTCAGCCTGGGGAATTTAGTGAGACTCTGCCTCAAAATAAATATTTTTTAAAAAGAGTCAAGAGTGTAGCTCAATGGTAGAGTACTTGCCTAGCATGCATGAGGCCCTGGTTTTAATCTCCAATATATCCCACCCCCCAAGAAAAGAAACTCCAAAACCCCCCAAAACAAACAAACAACTCAAACTTCACATCCAAGGGTAATACAACCCAGGCTCTAACTCTCAGAAGCTCCTGAATTATATAGGTATAAATAAACACAGATATACTGAGGAAGGAATTGACAATATTCAGAAATCATTTTCTATTTACAAGACTCTAGGATTCCAATAAAACTGAATCTTCCTTAACATCTGCTTCTTCTGTCTTGTGTTAATTCCCTCTCCAACACGATTCTTTTGTCTAGCAATAAATCAAGAGAAAGATAAGCTGCCTAGTTCAGTAAGGCAGACCCCTAAATAGATAATAAGCCCCTACATCTGGACCATAACCACTGCTACATCAGCTCCAAAACGTAAATTCCCCGGCCCAGAGTGCACTCTCCCTTCTGCTTCTGATGCGCTGTCCTCCAAACCGGTGGATGTGCAGCAATAATATGTCTGCTGTGATGGCAGCCTTTGTGCCCACTGCTTGGAAGGCCACCGCTGCGGTTATTTTCCTTCATGGATTGGGAGATACTGGGCATGGATGGGCGGAAGTCTTTGCAGGTATCAGAAGTTCACATTATCAAATATATCTGCCCACATAGGCCAGTTATGCCTGTAACATTAAACATGGCTATGCCTTCTTGGTTTGATATC